GATGTGGCAAGGGCAAATATAATGATGATGGCAGAAGAGGGTTTTATACAGAAGGGGAGAAAAATGAAATGGGGAAATAAGAAGAATTTAAACTAATCAGAGAAGAAGAAAATTCTCCAGAACAGGAATTGCAGGAGGTAAACAGCCGGGTGGAGGTAAACAGTCGGGAGACCATCCACCCGACGGTACTGAACCCCTACACACTGCTGAGCCTCATTCCGCCTGCACATGTATGGTACTCAGTCCTTGATCTCAAAGATGCATTTTTCAGCCTGCCCCTGGCACCAGTGCGCCAGCCGCTCTTTGCATTTGAATGGACAGACCCGGACACTGGAACTACTGGATAATTGACATGGACTCGATTGCCACAAGGCTTTAAAAACTCCCCCACACTGTTCGGGGAGGCTCTCAACAGCGATCTACAAGAGGTAAGGAAAGCTTTTCCCTATGCAACTGTTCTCCAGTATGTAGACAACCTCTTAGTGGCGACCACAACTGAGAAAAAATGTCTCACAGCCACCGAGGGACTCCTGGAGGCCCTACAAGGTCTGGGATATCGAGTGTCCTGGAAGAAAGCCCAGCTCTGCAAAACCAAGGTAATTTACTTGGGTTATGTTCTTGAAAAAGGAAAAAGAAAGTTAGCTGAATCCAGGGTGTCAGCAATCCTTCAGATCCCCACACCCAGCTCAAAGAAGCAGGTGCATGAGTTCCTGGGGGCCATAGGATATTGCAGAATCTGGATACCTAGCTTTGCTGAAATTGCCAAACCCCTGCATGAGGCTACGGAGGGGGGGAACACACCCCTTGAATGGACAGAGGCTTGCCAGCAAGCATTCCAGACACTCAAGACTGCGCTCACCACAGCGCCAGCCTTAGCCCTGCCTGATTTAAATAAACCATTCACCTTATATGTGGCAGAGAGGAACGGAGTGGCAAAAGGAGTGATCACGCAGTCTTTGGGGCCTTGGAAGTGACCTATAGCCTATCTATCCAAAAGACTTGACCCAGTGGCCAGAGGATGGCCGTCTTGTTTAAGGATGGTAGCTGCGGCTGCTGCTTTAACTCAGGAAGCTGATAAATTGACTTTTGGCCAGGATCTGACTCTGATCACTCCTCATGCCATTGAGACCCTGCTGCACAATTCACCAAGTAGATGGCTATCAAATGCTAGATTGCTGCAGTATCAGGGAGTCTTGTTAGAATAGCTGCGCATTAAATTTGCCACAACATCTAACCTGAATCCTGCTAGTCTGCTCCCTGAGTCGGATGACCAACTGCCCATCCATGACTGCCTTGAGACTCTTGAAAATCTGTGGGGAGGACATCCAGATCTGACGGACCTGGCCCTTCCCCGGCCTGAGGCAACATACTACACTGATGGATGCAGTTTCATACGTGAAGGTGTACGATATGCAGGAGCAGCAATAGTCAATCAGGATCAACAGGTAGTATGGGAACAAGGGCTGCCCCAAGGGACATCAGCACAGAAGGCTGAACTGATTGCTTTAACTAAGGCTCTGGAATTAGGAAAAGGGAAAAAGATAAATATTTTCACTGATAGCTGTTATGCTTTTGCTACTGTCCATGTACATGGAGAAATTTACCAGAATAGAGGACTTTTAACATCAGAAGGGAAAGAAATTAAAAACAAAGTTGAGATATTGGCTCTGCTGCAAGCCATCTGGCTGCCGAGGGAGGTTGCCATCATTCACTGCCGTGGACATCAAAGGAATTCCAGCCCTGAAGCGATTGGAAACAACGCAGCTGACCAGGCAGCAAAGCAAGCTGCCCAAAAATCAGTGGGGAAACAAATGGTGCTGCTACCTACACCCGTGCTCCCAGAGAGGCCTGAATACACAGAGGAAGAAATAACGGAGATGAGTAAGAACCACTGGACCAAAGGAAAGCATGGATGGTGGATGACAGATGAAGGGAAGGTCGTTCTGCCAGCCGCAGTGGCCGACACTTTGCTAAATGAGCTCCATGAATCCACCCACCGAGGAGAAAAGAGGATGATGGCCCTGCTATGGCCCAACTTTGTCAGCAGAGAATTAGCCCAGAAGGCCCGGAACAAAGTGAGACAGTGCCCCACCTGCCTCAAGGTAAGCGCGAATCGGGTAACTGGGCCCCCAGGGGTCCAATATAGGGTCTGACTTCCGGAGAACACTGGGAACTGGACTTCACCGAAATGAAACTACGCATGTATGGTTACAAATATCTGTTAGTTTTCATAGGCACATTCTCAGGGTGGATGGAAGCATACCCTACTAAAAAGGAAACAGCTGAGGTAACAGTAAAAAAGCTCCTGAGATAGTTCCCCAATTTGGCTTGCCCTTAGCCCTGGGGTCCGACAATGGCCCAGCCTTCACGGCTAATGTGTCTAAACTGATTAGCCTAAGCATTGGAATTAGATTGAATTTACATTGTGCTTACAGACCTCAAAGTTCAGGACAGGTAGAAAAAGCTAACAGAACACTAAAAGAGATTTTAACTAAATTGACCCTAGAGACTGAATTAAGTTGGGTGGAGCTTCTCCCTTTTGCTCTGTTGCGTATTCGATGTACTCCCAAGCCTCCTCTGAATCTGTCACTCTTCCAAATTATCTATGGGCGTACTCCCCCCTTGGTTCCCCATATAGATATGGAATTAAAGGAGAAATTCTCTCATCTGAGGTTGCTTAAGTCTCTGAGAGCTTTACAGGAAATACAGTCTCAACTACAAAACCAGGTTAGAGGATCTCTGACCCTTCCTCATGAGAAACCTCTACAGCCACTGCCCTATAAGCCGGGAGAACTGGTTTATATTCGCAGGTTTGACTCCAAGACCTTGGAACCACGGTGGAAGGGGCCTTTTCCAGTTGTCCTGTCTACTCTGGCTGTGAAGGTTGCAGGACACCCAACGTGGATCCATCACAACCACCTCAAGCCCGGACGGGACAACAGCCCAGAGGTGCACGGAAAATGGAGCGTCGTCAGCAAACCCGGAGAATTGAAAGTAAAACTCCGCTCAACTGGACCTTCATTATGATCTGGGTGATTTCCCTTGGGACAATAATAGCGTTGTCCAAAGAGAACTTAGGTCATACTAAAAATGTTTGGGTGCAATTAGCTGAATCCTTAAATTTGTCTGAAATATGTTTAAATGCTGATGTGAATTTTCATTATGTGCTTGGAAGTTGTTTGGTTCCAGTATGCACCCCACTTGAAAATATTAGACCATATACTATGTTTAAAAATTTCCCACAAGTAAATCTCAGTTATTTGGATAGTTACAATTGGGGACAAGTGACATGTTACAAACCAAAGAATGCTATTAAGCTATATACCCCTTGAGTAGCTATGTCCAATAACTCTCTGTGCCAAATATAAAGGTTGTACTTCCCAGTGTTTAAATCTTAAACAAACAGATGTAATGAAGTGCTCTAGAGAACAAATAATGGGCCAACTATAGAAAAAGACATACAAAAGCTCAAAGATTTAGCTACAAAGATTCATAATGAGCAGATAGGATGGGATTTATTTAAATGGTTAACAAGTTGGTTACCTGACATTACCTGGGTAAAACAATTGATACTCTGTGTAATGGCATTAGGATTTTGCATTGCAATAACTTGTTGTCTTTTACAATGTGTTCCTTTATTAAAGCCCAGAGTCAGATATAAGTAAATCAAAGATTTGATTTAGGTCCAAAAATCAGTGGGGAATGTAAGAGCCTGACTGAACCAGAGCAACTCCATGTTGACCAGCAAACGACCTAGAGACTGTCACTCCCCGCCATCCCTTATAGGATAACTAATGATTAATTGTGAATTGTTAGGTAACTGCTTTGAAGTAGCTGGGAAACTAAATGGAAACTGTAGTGAACACAGAGACCCAACACAAATCACGCCACTCCTTACTTGCCTGTAGTTGAATGTTCTGAACATTATAATCTAAGTTGTAAATGGAATAATGGATAATCGCTCTGCTGATCATTAGTACATGACGGTCAAGTATATGCTTGATGACCACTAGCTCAGATCAACTGATTCTTTGCCTTTGTCCTCTTCCTGTAAGTTTTAAGTGTAACCCCCCCCTTAGCCCTATATAAAATGGCCTCTGTTTCTGAGCTAGCCGCCTCTCTGAGCTACTTGGCTTGGGGAGTGCCATCTGGCCAGACTAATAAAGGTCTATTTGCCAACTTGCCTGGTATGTTCCTTCCTGGGTGACTCTCGCTGTCCGACAAGCTCCTGGAGCCTCGCTGAGCTTCTGAGGCCAGCATCGTGAAAGCCTCTTGGCTGTTCACACTCCAGGAGTAAAAGTGAGACTTAATTCTTACAAAGGAACCCAGAGGCTAAAAGGACTCCCCTTTGTGGATTCACCTCTGACCCAGGACTCTGGCCACTTCACATAGTCCTGCCCCATTTATCTGCAACAATGAAGGTTCAGTATAAATTGTTCATATTTCCTCTCCCCAAAAGGTTCCTATGAGACACCCTGGCCTCTTAGGTCTGCTCTCTGGCCATGCCACTAGTGGCTTAGGGAATTTGTCCCAGGACTGATTCATCTTTAGGCCAGCGTCTGTACAGCTCAATGAAGCCTTGACTTCAGTGACATCTTAGTCTCCAGAATCTTACTTAACACTAGGGTGGGTGTGTATCACAGTGAGTTGGCAGACATACCTGCCTGTGGCCTTGCAAGCCCAGCTGTTGTGGGCATGTGTCCCCTCACCCTGTCCTTGGTGGAAGTGACTTCACTTTCTCTGGTTGTCCTGAGGGCCAGGCAAATTGAGTCAGAGGTAGGCAGCCTGTCTCAGGCTGTGTGTGCTACTAGGTCTGCTGGAAGTAGTACACAAAGCCATGGCTCCTGTCTGGCCACCTGCCAGGTTTGGGCAAGTCCAGGCCCAGGATCTAGCTATGTGTTTCTGGAGCCCAGGACCCTGCTGCCTCAGTGCCCCCCCCATGGCACCTTGTCACCTCTCCCTGGGTTCTGGACCGAGTATTTTCCCATGGGCTTGTCTTATGGTGTCATATTACTTCATGTGCTTATTTCTTGGCTTTTCATACCTTTCCCCATTTTCTAATTGGATTTTCTGGCCTCAGAAAATATATCCACTCCAAAATAACCTTTGTGAGATTTCTCAAAGAACTAAAACTTGAGGTTCCACTTGACTCAGCCATACCTCTTCTTGTTATCTTCCAGAAAGAATTAAAAGCATCATACCACAGCAATATATGCACACTCAATGTTTATAGCAGCACAGTTCGTAATAGCTAAATCTTGGAAACAGCCCAAATGCCCTCAACTGATGAGCAAATAAAAAAGATGTGGGTTTTTTTATACAGTGGAGTACTACTCTACCATAAGGAAGGATGAGCTTCAGACATTTATAGCTAAATGGATGGACCTTGAGACCACACTCTTAAGTAAAATAAATTGGACACATATGTTTAAATACCGCATTGTTTCTCTGGTGTGAGAAACCAAAAGTGGAAATAAGGACTGAAATGTATAATGGATGTTGGGAAACTGGAAGAAAGTATTCAAATGGGAAGAGGAACAAGGGAGGAGGGAAGGTGAAAGGAAGGAAGGGATAAGAAAAAAAATAGAAGGAAAAAATGGAAACAAAGTTTTTGTACAAAGGGAGGGGAGGGAAGGGGCTGGGAGGGGAAGTGATATACATAGGCTTGGGGAAAAGGGATAAAATAAAGTTTATACAAAATAAAACTATACATAAACTATGATTTGTCAAAACAAACAAAAGTATAAATATTTTTTTTTTGGCACCGAGGATCAAACTCAGGTCTTTGTGCTTGCGAGGCACGCAGTAGAACCACTGAGCTAAATCCCCGGCCCAAAAATATAAATATTTCAAAAAAAAGCAAAAGTGCTTTTAGCTTAGGAAAATCTCTGTATTACTGTTACTAATATAAAGAACAGATTTCAAGAGCTATTATTCAATGAGTACATCTTTTCACTGAAAAAAATGACACTGTCCATAAAAATGATCAACAGCTCCAAATTAATATAGAGCTGTGCTGGATGTGGTAGTGCATGCCTATAATCCCAGCTATTCGGAGGCTGAGGCAGGAGGGACGCAAATTTGAGGCCAGTCTGGGCAACTTAGCAAGACGTGTCTCACAAGAAAACTAAAAAGGACATGGATGCAGCTGTAGCTCAGTGTTTTCTGGGTACAATCCTCATCATGTGTGTATGAGGGAGACAGAGAGAGGGAGACAGAGAGAACAGAAGAGTCACTCATAATCCTAATATGATCATCACAACTTAACATTTTGGATACTTCTCTGTATTTTGATTGATGAATGCATAAATGCACACAAGTATTACAAACAAAAGCTGGGGCTTTCAGGAATATCCATAAAATGTCCGTATTTATCACAGGTTGGACTAGATGTCTTTTTTCTACAACTAAGATTTCCCCCTTTTAGAGTGTTTAGTCACTTTACTATTATTTAAAGTGAATGATTCTATGCTAGTGTTAACTCAAGCTAAAAAAAAATCATAGGATTAGGACAGTTTCAAAAACACTGGAAATTCATTTCACTTGAAACTTGCTAATTAAACGATATATCAAAGAAAAACCCCCAAAATGCAAAATACAGTTCTTTGCTGGCCTTGCACTTGCAGTGATCTTCCTGCTTCAGCCTCCAAAGTGCTACGATCATAGGTGTGCACTACCACACCTGGCCCAAAACAGAATTCTTATTAGATCATGGTAAGATCCTTTTCAAGCTGCAGAACAGTTTCCTTGAGGGCTGGATCCGCTGCCCAGTTGACTTTACTCCCCAAAATGAGGTTCTGTAATTAAAAATAAAACAAAAAAAAAACCCTTTTAAAATATAAATTTTAAAATTTTAACAAGATTTAAACAAAAATCCCTTCACTAATATTATCTAATTTTTCTTGAACATTTACTAGTTAAGTACAGTAGCTCTGTCTTCATGAGAAAACAGTAATACCCTCTTATCTCCATTTCTACTTCCAGGAGGCTTCAGTTAGGGATATTTATGTTTATGATTATTTTTTGTGAGGGGTACAGGGGATCAAATGCAGAACCTTGTGCTTGTAAGGCAGGTGGTGGAACCAGTGAGCTAAATCCCTGGCCCATTTATGATTTTTTAAAAATACCTCATCAGTTTCCATGGACAGCTTTTACTCCTCACTCCGAGTCCCTGGGGTTGAACCCAGGGACTTTGCACTGAGCTACCTCCCCAGCCCTTTGTATTTACAAACATGGGCCACCATGCCCAGGTTGGCCTTTTTTGTGTGTGTGGTACTAGGGATTCAACCCAGTGTGTGCAACTGGCCTCATACATGCCAGGCAAGGGCTCACTGAGCCCCAGACCCAGCCTGCAGTCTTGACTTCTTAAGGGTATCTCAGTACTCTCCTAGATTAGAGGGAAAAGATTACAGGGATCATTTTGCACTTTTACAGTGAAAGACACAATTTAACTCTGATTTTCAAAAGAGGTAAAAGAAACACTTAGTTCTCAGCTCTTTTCAAAGTTTTAAGACCCTGAAAATGGTGAAGAATATCTTTGTGGTAGACAATACAGCAGTGATTAGGGTCATGATTAATTAAAATTCTGATCATTATTCTATAAAAATCATAGCTCAAGGATATGGCTGATTAGAATATCCTTAATAAAAACCAGTTAAATTGGTTAAATAAGTAAGTTAAATTGTTAGATATAATACTGTTGCAAACTTTGGTCTATATAATGCTTATCTTTGCTATCAGTGAATGAAAGGGCCAGAGTAGAGCAACCCAGTTGACTTTACAGCTGCAGACGGAAGTGTGCATTTGGTCAGTAGGGAACTTAGAGGCCCATCTTAGGAATAAAGACAGCTCTTGAAGTTGGTTGAAGCTATTGTGTATTTAACAAAGCAATAAATTCACTACATCCAAATTAACAGTCACTCATGGGATATGAATAAAATCAAGAAATGAAAATAGAGAAGTCTCAAAGCAGCATAAAGGAACTGAGCCAAGAAGTGAAGGGGTTCTAGCTCATGATTTTGTCCATCACTGGACATGGCTCTCAGGCATCTGCTCACTCCTAACCCAATCACTGCCACCAAAAAGCAGGTCTAAGGCTTAGAAGATGCAAAGCCCCATGTTTCTTGTTTATGTATTTATTTTCAGAAAATTTTATTTTATTTTTTTCCTGGTACTGGGGATTGAACTCAGAACCTTGCACTTGCAAGGCAGGCAACCGAAAATCTTACTTTTTAAAATGTAAACATTAAAAAACTTTTATTAGTACATTTTTATAGCACGTAATGATCACAATCCCTCATGGGGTACTGGTGTATGTACAAAACATCAAATCATCTTAGCTTCTCCTTCCCCCTCCCTCTCCTTCCCTTTTGCTCCTCTTTCCATTTACCAAAGATCTATCTCCCTGGTTCCTATTATCTTTATTTTACTATTTAGTTTATTTATGCTTTGGGGTTCTATATTTTCCTTTTTTCTTCTGGTCCATAGTCAGATGCATTATCC